TCAGAGTTATTTTTCATAAGCTAAAATCCCGAATCTTGCCTCGTGGCCTTTGCTTTTTCAGGGGGAAAGAATTTGGGGCAGGGGGGCAGTGTCTTCCTTTAACTTCCCTCTAGTATTTCAGCATCCTTCTTGCAGATACCTCTTGGTACTCTGAGCGCAGCGGTTTGATCCAGTTTGTTTTGCCAAAGTGAAAACAGCTGTGACATGAGGGAGAGAGAGTTGTTGGATAAACAAAACAATTCTTGTTTGGGTTTATATTTTTAAACTTACCTACTTCCAGTAATTGTTGTTTCTTTTGCTTCTCTGAAGGGAATAAATTGTGTTTAATAGGTAAACAACCATGCACTTGACTTACATGAGAAGCAGCTACCAGGCTATGCTTGCTCCTTCGTGCCTAGACGTCTGCGATCCAATCTGTCTGTCCAGGAACAGCTATAGACTTGCTGTTCTCGCTGCTGACACTTCAGCTGACGGGAATCAGAATTCATATGGTACTGCATCCCCCTGCAGAAACAAAGGCAAGCGCAAATTTACATGAACCTTTGTGAATGTTTGATCTAGCACAGTGCATCGCTGAACAATCTACAGTCGTAAACCAGTCTTCTAGGGACAGAAATCCACATCCACAAGAGGTCAAGTCCAGTCGTAGGAAGTTAAACTGTGGAGTATCCATGCTGGCAATCCTATTGTGGCTACCTGGGAAGAGTTTGATACAGGTTGAAGAATGTGTCAGCACGAAGTTCTTGCATAAAGATCATTACCCTGTTTCTGGCTGGCTTGAAAGTTCTCCTGCATTCTTGTAAGTAGGTATATATGCCCCCAATTCTTTGTGTTTTGGTTTTTTTTTTTCCTTTTCTGTTGTATTTAAACCACTGCTGTCCTAGAGAAATATGGTCTCCTTAGTCCTGGAGTCAGCTAGGAAGCTCTAGCTAGCGCAGAACCCTGTGCTGTTTCTTCATAATGATACAAAGCACCCAATCTCACATTTTCTAGTTTATTGCAGCAAGATTTTTAATCCTATTCGCTGTTCTGGTTTTTCTCCTCAAAGAAGGGTCCCAGCTTACTTAAAGTTCTGTATGTATCCTGCAATAAGGATTGCAGTTAACAGGTAGATTTATGGCATGTTGGAATTCTCCGTAATACGGATAGAGCAGAAGGTTGTCCAATGCAGAATTACTTCAGAGGCCAGTGTTGAACAGTGAAGTGGATTCTGCGAAGAACTCAGGACCTCAAAAACCTTGCTTTGAGTAAAATAGCACTTTTCAATCCAGCTTTTCTCCAATATGCAGACAAAATAATGGTATTAAATATATTTGTATAGAAGAAAACCTTTTATGCACGCTATTACATGTGTTTCTTTGCCTTGGGAACTCGTGAGGGCATTTTGGCAGCTGTCAATCGGTTCTGTTGATTCGCTGTTGTGAGGATATGCAAGCGGTGCTGGCAGCGCGCACCATGGTTTGAGCACAGTTAACGACGGACTGCTTGTATTAACAATTTTGTCGTTGCTACCTGAGAAACACAGCTTTAGGCTCATAGGAAGTCATGAGTTCAAATAAAATTTGGGCTTTTCCTGTGGCATGCAGAGGTTGAAGAACACAGTCCTCATGCTTTTGGGGGTATGTGCAAGTATGGAAGTTCTTGAGTCGCTGTAAGATATTCAGGAAAGGGAGAACTCGTGGAGCGGAGGCGAGTTCTCCTCACACCACCAGTACGCACCACACGTGTCCCTCTCCAGGCAAATCCACGAGAGTTGGAAGTGAGCAGTAAATGGTTATGTGTGCAGAAAAAAGCGCTCATTAGTGGAGGCACCATAAAGTCACAGATAAAGACCCGGCTCCTCTTCCTCTTTTTGTATTGGTTTGGCCTCTGGCAGCCCCTCTGTTGAATTTGGGCAGGGTTAGATTTAATGTGGCATTTTATGACTTGAGTTTTTCAAAAATTGCTTATGCGGAGGGTCTGCTGCGTGTGCTAATGTTAAACTGAGGCAGAAGTGCTCGACAACGTCTGTGAAGTCTCGTCAACCTTGTGTATTTTCCAGGCAAATCATGCTGTGGTTTGCCGAAAACATTTAACGTTCTATTGCAAAATACTTGCTTACAAGAGAGCCTTTGTTCTGCAGGCTTTGGATTTGTCACTGTTTATGATTCTGTCTATATGGAAATGTAAAACAATAACATTTAATAAAATACATACACCATTCGTTACTTGGTATCTGTTTTCGTCTTGTCAGTTTAGTCTTCAAAGTATTTTAAGCAGAATGCTCTTTGCGGCTATTAAAATCCTGAAAAATGTGGTTATTTTTAATTTGTTTCATACAGAACTGTTTTTTTACCTTCTGGTGAGATACCACCCGTCGGTTTGTTTGCCTTCCCTAATGTTTAAACCAAAACAGGTTCATCAGTGAGCCTTGGCTTTTGTGGGATCCATGTCACTTTGAGAAAGCTTTAGCAAAGCCTGTTTACTGAAAACCCGCAAAATTGGGCAGTTGGGACTAACTAGACTAAACCGAGTTATTTCTTTGACTGCTCATGGTAGGCGCCTGCGTTTCTCATGCTTGTTGAAGTCACCCTTCAGTCTTGGCAGCAGTGTCTTCAGCTTACTGTTAATTGTTTTCCTTCTGTTCGTTGCAGAGGTACTTGGAATTCACGTAGTCATGGCTATGCTGAGGTTTTTCCCACTAAGCAGGATAAACACCCCTCTGATTTCACACTTACTAGGTTTGAGGACTGAATCAAACCATCTTACGAGGGAAATCTAGTCTTCCTCTTCGGCCTTTTTGGGGGAGAGCGAGTGAGAAGGAAACGTTGAAGCAAGGAGGAGGGGAGGGAGCAAAACAGTGGCAGAGAGAACGCTGAGTGATTCTGGGGTTGGGGTTTTTTAGCCCCTCCTCAAGCAGCTGAATTTTTACCAGCTTCGAATTTCATGTCTGTCTCTGAGGTATAAGGGAGTACTCATTTTAAACTGAAACAAAGATTTATTCTCTGATTTTTAACAACCTAATTGATTTGAGCTGTCTGTAATGGAGTAAGAGTTGCATAAGCTTCGAAAGTTCACATCCCGTCTGTATGCTAATGTCTCTTGGAGTCAGATTTCTCTTCAGGGCTGGGCATAAAAACAAAGTATTGCGATCACTTGCTGATCAAAAATAACTTGGGAATACGTATTTTCTCAGTTCAACCTTGGGCAAAATATTTTTGGCATCCCAGCATTCATTTACATGGACCTGTGAGTGCTTTTAAAGTACAGCCTTTCCTGATTGGGGGATTTACAGTTTTGTTATTCATGCAGTGTTAGAGGTGTTTTGTTCTCCTGTAATTTTGCATTTGAAATTCTTAGGCAGTGGGACAATTGCAAGAATTTTCTTGCTCTTTGGTATGGTATCAGCTCTCGGTGTTTGAGGAATTCGGCATTTTCCTAAACCCTCGCGTGACTGGTGTATGTTCGTTAGCTTATAGCTGTACCGTGCTTTGAAGCTGTGAAGTGTCGTTACTTTTTAATTAAGCAATCAGCAGAGATCACCCTGTTTAAATGGATGCAGATAATTCACGATGCATTCAAAGCAATTCATCCAGGAACCCTGCTGCCCCACTCGGCGTTATATTTTTAATTACCCCGTCCTACCGGATCCCGGAATCCGGGGGTTGTCCCCAGCGAAGGCAGGCACCCCGGGGTCTGCCACGGGGCCGGCTGTCCTTGCGCCTTTACACCGACTGCCACGTGCATTCCTTCAACCCATGCAGCTTTCAGAGTTTTTCACCAGTTTTGGAGATGGATAACGGAATTCTTGGAATGCATATTCATCAGAAAACAGAAATCACCAACTGTAATAGAAGATAACAGCAAGGTTAAAAGTCCACTAGGAGCAGGAGAAGCTGACCCCAATGACCAGCCTGGGATGGCAAGGAAAGTAACATGGTACTAAGTTCTCTGCAGTCCAGATAACCAGGCTACATTGGCTCCTATCTCAGAAAAAAAAAAAAACCAAACCAACACCCCCCCCCCCCCCCCCAAAACTTCTTGGTTGACATCAGCCCAACTTCAGCCGGCACGGGGGTGCCGTAGGTGGCGGTCACGGCATAGCTCCTGTGCGTGGCGTCGGAAGTGGCATCAGCGGGGAGCAGAAGGGGGTTGAATTACATGGAAGACTTCCAAATTTGTGTACGTGTTGAGACGATAAATGCTACTTGTGCCTCTCTTTTTGGAGGATGTATGCATGCCTTCGGCGGAAGTTGGTTTGCTGGATGCCCTCACTATGGGTATCATAAGCTGGGCCCAACAAAATGAGCTTACTAAAGCAAGGCCTGAGTAGGGCGGTCATTCAGTTCGCCAGGTTCATCCCGCCTCACTCGGGGCACTCAGCCTAGATCATAGAATAGAATCATAGAATCACTTTGGTTGGAAAAGCCCTTTGAGATCATCGAGTCCAACCTTTAACCTAACCCTGCCATCCCACCACTAAACCCTGTCCCTCAGCACCTCATCCATCCTTCTTTTAAATCCCTCCAGGGATGGGGACTCGACCACCTCCCTGGGCAGCCCATTCCAGAGCCTGACAGCCCTTTCGGTGAAGAAGTTTTTCCTAATGTCTAGCCTAAACCTGCCCTGGTGCAGCTTCCAACCAGTCCCCCTCGTCCCATCGCCTGTTACCAGAGAGAAGAGGCCGACCCCCCTCTCCCTACAGCCTCCTCTCAGGCAGTTGTAGAGGGCCATCAGGTCTCCCCTCAGCCTCCTCTTCTCCAGACTAAACACCCCCAGCTCCCTCAGCTGCTCCTCGTATGACTTGTGTTCCAGACCCCTCCCCGGCTTGGTTGCTCTCCTCTGGACATGTTCCAGCAACGCAGCATCTTTCTTGTAGTGAGGGGCCCAAAAGATGTCTGAATCGGAGCCCTGCGCTCCGGTACTCCATGGAAAACGGGAGAGGGAGTTGAATCTCCATTTGGAGAAGGCTGTTCCTTCCCATCAGCTGTAATAAGCAGCCCAGAACAATTAAGATGCTTCGCAAATTACCCCTGCGAAGCACCTGGAGTTGAACGGTAGGACTCGCATTGAGTGGTGCGAGTCAAAGCCCTCGTGCCAGGGATCAGCCCAGCGCTGCTCACGGTCACTGCGCGCGCGTCTGCTGTTCCCCACGTAACCAGGTTTCCCTCTTATTGCAACTTTTCTGTACGATTTTGATTAGTGGATTGAAAAACGGAAGGGTAGGGAATGAAAGGGAGGATAAAGTCTTTGGGCTACCCCTTAATAAAACTTTTGCAATGTTTCGATGTATTGCAAAATGGTTTGGCTAATTCAGACTACGTGTGGAGTCACGGCTAGCCCCGACAGGGATTCACATGTCACTGCAGTTGCTTCCAAAGCATAAGTACAAAAGGAATATTTATTGTGTTAGGATGTTCCTTATGTTTTAAAAGTTGGGGTTTTTTTCCAGATACTCCGAGAGCGAGTCCCTTGATGCGAGTGTCCTTCCTGTGTCCTCCATCACAGCTCCAAGTGGGAGCATATTTAACACGTGAAAAACGTCTGTTAGGCACAGCCCAAGATGATTTGTTCTCTCTCGTCCAATTTCCTAGGTTTGCCGTGAAGATTATTAGCAGATGAAATTCTGCATGCTCAGAAATAATCCGGCTGGTACCCTTGCACAGGGCCATGTATCCGGACAGCGTGCCAGGCGGAGGTAAGAATGCGTAGCTTACAAAGCAAGAAGCACACGACCTTTCTGTTGTAATAATTAATGTCAGCAATCGCGGTTTGTAACACATCGGGTCAAAACCGTTGTATCATGTGCTGCTTCGTGTCCTCATGAAACACCAGGCTTCTGCGTTTCGCCAGGTAAGATTCCCAAGCTTTACTTTTTTTAAAAGTTACTTTAATTTGTATCCCTGAGGTTTCTGTCTTGGCTGAAGACACTTGCAGGGGATGAGGACAGCAAAGAGGGAGCAGTTAACGGTGCTACCGGGAGTTCTGGCGTAGGTCGAGGGACGGGTTTGGTGGTCTTTGGCCACGCTCCCCTCTAGCGGGGACGAAGCTGATTTAAGGGGCGGGGGGGTAGGGTGTGATGGAGAATTGGAGGCAGAGGGGGAAATCGAGGTTTAGCAGAAAAGGTCCTTTTACACCAAACATGCTGTTTGCCTCAACCCTGTGAAAATGAAATGTTCTTCACTTTTCAAGATCCGTGACATCCCTAAGGAAGAGCAAGGCTGTTGGCCAGCAGCGTCTCACAAGTTAATGCTCGGGTGTAGATTGGGAAAAAGGTAAGACAGTAAATAACGTTTTGTGTTGCTTTTGAATAGTGCTGCTCTTTGTGCCTTTAATCTCAAGTCAGTAGGAAGCCCATTTTCCAATAAACGCGTTTAAGCCAGGGCGGTGTGTTTGCAGCGTTACAGGAGGGTGGAGCTGTTCTTCATGGGCTTGAAAAGCAGGGGTAGGGAAAAGAAGGCACTGATAGGAAATCATTCTAGGAAAAAATGGAGTAGCTGAAGTAATTTTAGTTTTCCAGCACAGCCGAAGCATGCTCTACCCTTTTTATCAGCTGATGTTCTCTTTTTTTTTGCCTTCCCCCCCCCCCCCCTTTTTTTTTTTTTTTTTGCCCCCCCCCCCCCCCCCTTTTTTTTTTTTTTTTTGCCCCCCCCCCCCCCCCCTTTTTTTTTTTTTTTTTGCCCCCCCCCCCCCCCCCTTTTTTTTTTTCTTTCAGTTTAAAGTATTGTATTAAAATTCAGCTAAGATGGCATCTGGACGGGCAATGGGCCTGGCTGGCTAAAGCGATCGCTAGTAACTAAATCTCCTCTGAATCCCATTCAGAGACTGGCTTTTCCACACCACTGCAGCCAGGAGTGCAGCTTCGGTGAGAAGTAGGTGCTCATCTTCACCACAAATTCTGTTACCGGTGACCACGTGGAGCGCTCAGCGATGCAGAATCGTGCGGGGACGTGAAGCTCTTCCAAGTGTGTAGGAAAACTGGATGAAAAGCTAGGAAAAGGTTTGTTGGTGCTGTTTGCTGCTTTTTTCCAGAGACGACTCCTTAAATGCCTTGCCGTGTTGGGTGGAAGTTGTGTGTAACGGGAGCCTCAGAACAGGAATGGGGTGAGCAGCGTGCTGCCTCGGCCGGCTGGATTGTTTGGGAAGACTGGGGCTGGGCTGACATTTAAAGCTGCTTTGTTTGATTTTTCTTGTAAACCAGTTCCACCAAATGTGAGAGCCGGGTTTATTTTGAAGTCTAGCTGGTGGCTTCGGGGAAGCAGATGTTTAAGTAGCTCGCTCCCGCTGAAATGTGTCAACGTTTTGTGTGCTGCTATTTCCATGGAAACAGGTATTGGCTCAGCAGAAACGGCACAGGGATTACCAAATTGCTTTTTAAAAACAAAATCAGGATAGGTTAGTCATTCTTATTTTTACTCATAAGCCCTGATAGCGGTGCTGAGCAGAACCTGTCTTTTGACTATATGGGGTACAGTCACGCGAAGTGGCAGATCGGTGATTAATATTTTAAATTAATGTTTTTAGACAGTGAGCAAGTGCTTGATAGAACTTTATTAGAAAAACCCGTGTCTGTTCATTGTGTTCAGCACGCATTCTTCTGTGTCCCTGAAGGCAGCCACGGTTTCATCACTTCTTTGGGCCCCCACCTGAAGTACCTGAAATAGGTGTTGACTGAGAGCTGCGGATTGCCGATGGCAAACTGTGCTTTTTTAAAGAAACCATGAAGTGGCTCATGAAACCCCGTGCGGGTAACTTGGAGTTGGTGACCTTCAGCGGCATGTGAAGTTGAAGCAAGCCCCACTTCCCTGGGCTGCTCTGTTTGCCTTTGGGCACATTGGCTTTAGGAATCATCCGCTTTTACCCCCTCTCACCCTTGCGACAGCATTAAAAAGTAGGATTCAACTTGCGGGACTCGTTGCTTCCCAGGATATTATACAGTGATCGGATCTTGCATGGAGTTGAGGACGAGGAGCTCCAGGAATTCCTGAAAAACGAAGGCGCCTCCAATCGTCATCTTGCATCTTCAGCTGCGCTGTTCAGACGTTGGAATTTCTTTTCCAGCCCAAGCATGGTTAGAGACCAATGCCAATCACATATCCCAGGTCCCGCAGCGGAGCGGTTCCCAGCGGGTGAAGGGCTGTTGGGAGCGAGGCCCGGAGCGGGAGAGGAGGTGCTGCAGGTCTGGAGGCCTGGCCCAAGGACGAGGGAGGAGCAGGGAGCTGCAGGGGATGACCCCGCTGTCAACGCAGTCTGGAAGAGGCTGCTGGCATGGCGTGAGGAGGAGGAGGAGGGCAGCGAGGAAAAATGGCAAGGAGGAACTGGAACGAGAAGGTGGCACGGGACTGACCGGGGGGGTGGAGGAAGCGGCGGGGGCCGTATGCAAGAGGGGAGATGGCTTGGGAAACAGCTCTAACAAAGCCACCTACAAACAAACCGACCATGGGGGAAAAAAAAAAGCAAGGAACATTGCTCAAAAAACATTGGCAGTTTCCCAAAAGAATGCAGACTTTTTCTTTTTTTTTTTCACTAAAGTGGAATTTGTTTGACAGAACAATTCCCCTTAGAAATAAAATTCTTTAAACATTGGATCACTAAATAACGAAGGGTGAAGTGCTTGCTGACCTAAATTAGATTCCTTAAAAGGATACCCGCTAAGATCAAACAGTGTTTCCATAGGGGCTGTACTTTAGCCAAGTGTTTTCCCAAACTATAAAGGCAAAACAAGCCTACCGTTCCGGGGAGTTTGCTGTCCGAGTCTCCCTGCACTTTTCAGGTGCCGGTTGTCGAAACGTCGCCGAGTGCCATGGGTGCATCAGGAGCGGCGCTGCTCGTTCCACCAAGGGGGCACCAACCAAACCAGAGATTAAATTTCATTCCGAGATGGATGCTCACATCTCTCCTTCGTAACTCTGTATTTCCCCCTTCCTTGGCTGATTATGAAATAGGCCGTGAAACTCTGAGCATCCATTTTTCAGGGAATAGAACAGAAGAACACCAGCAGCAAGCAAGTGTGCTGGTTGGGACCAAGTGGCCGGTGGGCTGCTCTCTTGCCTTTTTACCACCTTCAGATAGCCCGAGAAACAGTCATTGTCCTCATCTTGCCTCGCCCCTTTCAGCCTGGAAGCGAGGTGGGTGCAGCCTTGGGGATGCTTCCCAGCACAGGGAGCCGCAGGGGGCTTTGTCACCTTTTGGCCGCTGCTGTGGTCTCGCGTGGGGTCGCTTGCCGCAGGCAAACGCGCCGGAAGGCAGGGGCGTGTGACGAGCGTGGGGCGTGTGACGAGCGTGTGCCCTTCCAGACCAAGTGGTGGCAGAGGCGAGGTAGCAGATGCGGCAGGTAAGGGTGATGGGTCAGCGAGGCACAGAAAGCTGGGACGAACAGCGTTTGATTTTTTTTTTACTAGAGCTGAAGAATCTTAACATGGGGCTGTGCCAAATACAGAGGCAGCCCCCAGCATACAGGAAAACAGGAGAAGTTACGCTTGGTAAGAAGTGGCTTATGCACAGTCGTTACAGCAAGACTAATTACAAAATTCACGGATTCCCCAGGGTCAGCTCACCAATGATGTGGGCTAGGAATGCCAGGTGACGTCATCCTGCATCGTACAGACACATCTTAACATGGGGCTGTGCCAAATACAGAGGCAGCCCCCAGCATACAGGAAAACAGGAGAAGTTACGCTTGGTAAGAAGTGGCTTATGCACAGTCGTTACAGCAAGACTAATTACAAAATTCACGGATTCCCCAGGGTCAGCTCACCAATGATGTGGGCTAGGAATGCCAGGTGATGTCATCCTGCATCGTACAGACATGACCAGGTTACAGGGCAAAATCAGACCGGACAGAACCGCGCTAAGGAATCCTTCCTGCCGCTCACCAGCGCACGTGTGGTGGCAAAGGCAGCAAAAGGGGCCCAGGGCACTCATGGAGCAAAACTCTGCTGGATATAGAAGGGGCTTTTGGGCTGTTGTTTTGAAAAACCACACTTGTACCGACTAAAAGGAATAACATGAAATGGTTTAATATTCTAGATGAGAAGAAGCTAAAATAAAATTTTATTATCCATCTCCCCATCTTGTTACTGGGAACGAAAGGTAACACTAGGCTGAGTCAGGGTACGGTCACAAGAGCCACTGAAAACCAAGCTGGGCGTGAGCCTCGGCCCCGGCCTCTGGCCCGTTGTATTCCTCGCTGTAAGCCAGGATAATTAATTTATTTCACAACAACAGAGTCACTGGCCTCCGCGCGGGAGCGTGTTCGTCCGGAGGCCGCGCGGGCTTCGGGGTGGAACGCAGCGCTGCCCGGCGTGCCCCACCACCGTACGCACGCAAACACAAAACACGAGGGCAGACCCCAGGCAGACTTCCACCGTACCGCCACGTGGCTCTCACGTACCCGTAGAAGCAGCTCAGAACCCACCGCCTGCGTTGCTGCCCGCGTTCCCGCCGAGCGTGCCGGTGCGGGAGCTGGGGCAGGCGTTTGGCTGGGCAATGGGGCTGCCCCGGATGAAAAGCAGCTGGAAGGCAGGGAGCCTGCACTGTGCCTCCCTCGCTGCCCCCTGCAGCGGTCACCAGTGCTGGTGCATCAAATGCCTCGACTTCTGCGGAGCCTGAAGTCATCCAATTTTAAAAAGTCAAAAGGAAAAAAAAAGCCAGAAGCCTCCCATACTTTAAACAATTTAATTTATTAGAACCCATAAATGTTGCTCTCATTAGAATCAAGTTAACACCTAATCCAGGGTGAAATTACATTTTAAGACAAACGAAAAATCGCAGTGCTTAACTACAGCAGGCCCTGAAGACTGCTGTTCCCAGAATCCCGCACAAGTTCATACTTATCCTGTGGTCTTAGTACGGCCGCTAATTCTGAGCAGGTTCAGCGTTTTGTTTTCAGCTGAAAGCACAGCACACCATGCACAGGGCTTCGCCCCCAGCAGCCTCCCAGCACTGCAGAATGAAGGGCTCGAGCCTTAAACGAACAAACAAACACGAACCCACCTTGATGTGCATGGCCAGCGTGTGGAGTTCTCGTTTCTCCTGTATTGAAGACTGAGCGGTAGAAGATCCCTGTAGCCAGAACCGAACAGTCTGACCCTTGGAATTTATTTAAGAGGTTCACTGAGCTGGCATCGAGCAAACCTTAACTGTTACTTCGAATTGGAACCTGAGTGCAGAGATAAAGTACAGTCGCCCACGTCGTCAGCCCTAGAATTCTTTCCACAGCAGCCCTTTTGGAGAAGCAGGCCGGCTCGATAACCTGCATCTGCACTACTGCAGAGCAACAGAATCGCTTCCATGCAACTCAGAAAGTGCTTAAGCACCGAATACAAAAAAGTATCTGACTTACAAACCCTCCGCTATAGAAAATCAAACCGTGGAATGTGGCGGATGGCGAGAGATCTGTATCAAAGTATTAAATCATAAATTAACTCGAGTGACTGCGACACAGGATGGACGCTCTGGAGGCAGCAAAACGCTGGCATGTTCGCTGAGGGCGAGGGTTGGTCCTTCCATGAAGGCTCCTACAAAGCTGATGCAGAGGGGTCTGTCGCGCACTAACGCGCTTGCTCTCTTCACCACACACCCAATTTCCTACAAGCCGTGCTGGATTACTTCTATTCCCTTTTAAAATAAGCTATTGGTTACACAACTTTTCCAGGGGGTATCAAATTATTAAAATTCTGGTATCACCCATTCCCAGCTCGAGCTACAAGATTGGGTCGCTGTAGAGGAGAACTAACAGGGTACTTGCTTCCAGAGGCTCTCACAGCCTTTCCTCAGTTATGTTGAGGAAGGAGCAATTTTTTAAATGTTCAGTTTTCATTCTCAACTGAGAGCTCGCCTGCAAAATACAAACCCACAGCACTCATGAGAAATGCGGGAGTAGTGTTGCTCATACAGGTGTTACTGTAGAAAAGGAGTCCTTTGGCTGTACATCGCTTCCACAGTGTATTTGTTACGTGAGATACAAACTGTACAAGTTCTCCAGTTTACAAAGATTTCTAAATTGCAGGAACAGTTCAGCCCGTATTTATAATACCGGTTTTAAATGTAGAGATTATTACAGATAAGGTACAGTCTAAGTAATTGGCTCAATGTCACAACAAAAATGTAGTTTTAATACAATTTGCAATAGTACAACTATGTACACCTGTACAGAACGGTTTCCTTCTGTCACTTGGCCGACTGCGTACACCCATCACTCAATTATCAGCTTCCTGTGAAGTAAGAACCTGAAGTGACAATGGTTCGGTTTTGCAGCACTTCGAGTTCTTCCGTGGAGATCTCTCCTCATCCGCGTTTCCCGCTGAAACCTGACCCTAGAGAACGCCGTCGCTGAAGCGTGGCTTGCCGTAATCAACGAGGTCGTTCTGTAGGTCTCTCTCTTCATCGTCTGCAATTAAAATATTCAGATCAAGGCTGATGTGATACTACCAAAAAACTATTTACGCATCCTTTCCCAGAACACGCTGCTAATGCACGCATCCACGCTGAGCGGCCCCCGCCCGGTGATGGGAATGGTCGTTGGGGAAAGTATGGAGGAGGCCTAAGGGCCTGCGCTGGAAGTCCAGCTCTCAGCGCTCGGGGAGTTGTCCCTCGCAAAAAAACTAGGACTGCACACTCTGTAATATCTTGGGCTTTACTGCAACCGTGTTCCGGAGCTCTACTGACCAAAGAGACTGTAGAACCAGTTCAACTCACTACTGCAGTCAGAATCTTCCCTTAAAGGTTTCAAACTCTCCCACGGAAACCCAACTGCAAAGTCCACTACTTCAGAAAGTTACGTTGCTATTTTTTGTCCCTTTCTAGAGTTAACACAGCGCAAGAGCTTACAAAGGTTGGGTGCCTCGTGGGACGAGCACAGAGAGGCCCGTGTGACCCCCGCCAGACTCAGGCAGTACTTCCTCCGGATTCGAACAACGATCCCTTCCACACAAACGTGGCGCGGCACAATTTCTCGTGACGGGATTTTTACTAATGCTGGCATTGCCTTTGCGTCAGCGCTGTTACGTGCTGCTAGCTCGCGTCTCAGACTCGAGGGTAAAATCTGAAGAGAGGCTTTTAAAGACGTAAAAGGCAGCTCTCCACCTTTTCAAACCTCTGATCAATGGAAAGCCCTGTTCTCTCCCTCAGCACCGCTGAGGAACCAACAATACATTTTTCACCGCGGCTCTTCACAGGGGACACAAACCCGTCCAGCCCCCGCTCCTTTCCCAGCTGCGTTTGGTTCCTCTGACAATGGATTTACAGCTTTGTCCTTGGCTGGAAGAATGAAGATGTTTCACCTTGGCATTCAGATCCAGAATGACACTCTCTCTCTCCCCACCACTACTGCTCGACTTCTGCTCCTTGGGTTTTGAGCCTCATGAAAAATCGTAAAATTTAAAAAAAAAACCCAAACCAAGCCCCCCTTGTGCATCCCCAGTATAACCATTTACTGTAGCACAGGCAAAAAAACCATCAAGAAGAATGCACAGTCGGTATTTTTTTCAGGTGGTGTTTTAAAATAAAATATTCTGCATTCTGCCGGCCGTAATTCAGCTCTCTCCTGCGTGGGTCCCCAGCCTTCCTCCCTCAAGACATGAAAAAGCCCTAAAGCTTCAGCGTGTTCCAATTAATAAGCTCCTGCTGCATTTCAAAGCCATGGGCCTTCCTATTTGGGAAAGGTACTTGTCCTCAGGAATGGAAAACCAAGTTCACCGAGTCCTTCGCTGGATGCTGCCTGCAGCTCCTCCGCTCTCACTCGCAGGTACCCGATGGAACCTGCTCCCAACAGCAAAAGGCTGAGGTGTACCTGCACGCACAGGCTTTTGTTGGAGAAGGAGCTGCTGACAGAGCAGCTGGATATCCCCTGATCGAAAAATTCCTTCCCCTTGGGGCTGTCAGGCACTGGAAGGGGCTGCCCAGGGAAGGGGTCGAGTCCCCAGCCCG